TGGCTTCAGACTTTTATGACTGATTTCAGCATCAACGTATAACGTTTTGCTCAAATTGCATTGAGCTTCATCAGGTAGTGAACTCGTTCCCGAGTTCATTGTAGCATCATAGGACCACGAGGAAATAATTCAGCAGTACGCAGACATGGCTGATGATAATGATGACAATACAATTAATTATGATAGTGTTTTGCTTGAGTAATGCTAATAATTATTAATAGTAGAAAAATAATGTCTTAGACATTAATTTATTCAGGAGTAATATGCCACTATTACTTAGTTAATATAATTGTAAATCCTGATGTGGACACTCTCAATACATAAAGTTTCATGTCTGCTTACGACAATAAGAATAACTTCGCCTTTACTCACGTAACTAATGAATGAAGGCAAATAATTAAGAAAGAAAGAAAAAAACTCAGTGGGACAAAACGAACACCTAAAAAAGTAATGTAACTGTTGGAAACAATGGGGGGAAAAATGTAGATTACAAAATTATTAACAATTGGGAATGTGGAAAACGGAATGACCGTGATGCTTCCGTGTCGCTTCTTCTGAAAGGAGCAATAGGCATTGAAGACAGAGTTTCAGACACAATGGAGTGGTAGCAGTGGGCATGCCGGACTGCGCCGTAGCTCAGCAAGCAGCACGTCTCTGATCGCTTTGCTGTAAAATGGCCGTCCAGCTGCATGAACAGCATGCCTGCAGCGTTCCATCACTACCAAATATTTGAGCCATACAATTTAAATTCCATTTCCAGCATTTTGCTGTTTGCCTCAACAATTTATTTTATGTTTGTCTCCCTACCTGCTAATGTTTAACTCCCAGTTTGGTTCTGCAATGCAGCTGTCAGATTGTGTGTAATTTTTTTCACCCAAATTTTCTATTCCATGGGGAAAAGTGATCCTTATATAGCCTGCTTCTAGGCCAGCAAGCCCTGGAGATGAGCCTAAAATATGCATCTAATGAGCTTCATTAAGGGTATAGGCAGTCTCCTGGTGGTTTTATCAAAGTCCCATCAGATAAAAAAAAATAGATTTCTTTGGTTTTACATCATTCCAGTGTTTAAAAGCAACGATGTTTGTTTTTGTTCTAATTGTCATAAACAGCCCACGTGATTACAATTATGGTTATGTTAATTTAATAATGCGGCACATTATGAAAAAACGCGTTTGTTGATCGGCAGATGCAGTGCCGGTGATATTTCAAGGTGGCATTTTACTGGCTGATTCCCACCTTTGCGGTCAAATGAGGAAAGGGGGACCAATTGTTTGGTATGTTGCTGGAGGCTCTTAAATTAGCACATCTGCCTTCAAAGCTCCATGGTCTTTGCTAAGTAAGCAGCTTAATAGGCCTAATTTAGCATGGCACATGTGACTTCGCTGTAGAATACCTAACCATGCTCTTAATCCAGTTTGCTAAAACAATCGCCTTCATAATGACTCAAAATGAGGCAGTATATCAGGATACCAAAGCAATGCATTTTTACTTGGTTCATCCTGCGTAATGGGACAACCCATGCTTTCGAAAAACACCGATTTTAAATGTCACAATATTTTTTTTTATTATAGCAGAGGACTATTATTCCAGGTTTATAAAAAAAGAAACCCGCAAAAAACAGACCTCTTTCTTTCAGTGGCAATGGGCAGGAATAATGCTCTCAAATAACCGATGCATGGTCTTTTATATATATAACATTTTTAACTGCACAAAATAATGGTGGGTGATAGCCAGGCAGGGTAAATTATTCACGGCTGCCAGTCAGCTGTGAATTTTCCTGCAAGCTATTATCTGTACTGCTTGTGGGCCTGACTTTACTGAGCACACACACAAGCTCGCCATAAATTGTTAGCAGGTGCCAATAGGAATCGGGCATGCTTGACAGTTGCTGCTGTAAACGTGGCTGAAAGATTGCCCAGTTCTATACCCTGTCACGTGATGTACAATGTCTTACTTGTGTGCAGGGACAGGAGTCATAAGGAAGTGAAAACATAATCCCATAGCAGTTGAAAAGAATTATAATAATTTGTATGTGTCTTTAAAAGTCAAAGTGAGTTCCTGTTTAAATGAGTGCTCATCTCCTGCCCCTGAGCCAGGAGTGGAAATCCCACATTCCTATGGGCAAGAGCGATTCATTCCATAAGACAACCACTGTTGACTTCCCCAAAAAAGGGTGGGTACTCGTTTGGTCAAGTCCGGATTGAACTCGCATCCTTCAATTGTGAATCCGGAACACACTTTTACCCATTTGGTAAATGTAAAGAGATCCTTAATCAAGAAAACTGGAAGAAAAAAACGAAAGCACTTCAGCAAAAAAAATCTACACTTGAAATTGTGTTACATTTAGCATAATGCTTCACATATATTAAGAACGCATTGAGCTGGAGGTTTCATAACACCACACAATTAGACCAATGTGTTATATTTTAAAAAAAAAGTAGAAAGCTCTTTGAAAGAAATGTCCTGTTCAGAGAGCAATCAGCCGATCTTCAAAAAGATCTACAGCTCTCAACAAATACAAATTAACGCTCACCATTTATGAACTTCTCAAAGAATATGTAATGCATTCCTTTATAAAAAGCACAATTCAAGAAATGCATGAAAGTGCTGGTACACAACATTTTTAAACCAAATCGAAATATAAGGCGTATTAACATACATTGGCTTTACAAACACGAATAAAAAAAACACGAAGAAAAACAACACATCTATGCAAACAATATACACTTTATAACGTTGATGTTTCAGTGGATTTATATTGACTTTCTCCATATCTTGCTTCCAATCATCTGGCAATACTTATTTTGCCCACAGCCACATTTTCTTGCTTGGATGTATGAGAAGAGAGGAAGCACGCAGATGTGTGTTTGAGATAGCTATGGCCTTGTCAGATAACTCACGAGACACGCCAGAGGCAAGGCATGCCTGATATGCTTGACCCAAGACTGTTCACCCAGCATTAAAAGTAACAGCCACATGCAACCCAATGTGCAAATTACGTGTATTATTTCCTGGAACCTATGCTGCAATGAAGTGCTGTAGATTGAATTTACTTAATAAACATTTAACAACTGTATCATCATCATCATCATCCTCAGCCGTGATCTATCCACTGCTGGATGAAGGCCGCCCTCCACTGCCACGATCCCTCGCCAGTATCGTAATGCACACGCCACTAACTTCTGTGCAATATCTGTAATATCATTATCATCACCGGAAGTCAATCCACTGCTGGATGAAGGCCTCCTCAAATCGTCACCACCTCTCATGATCCTGCAATGCAATAAGCCACCTAGCACCTGCGCACAAACTGATTTAATTGCAGCATCTCCTCAGATAACTGTATAGCCTGAATGTTAACGCACTGTTTCACTCAGTCTCAAGATTCTTTTTCAGGAGGGTCTTGCCAAGTTTTCACAGTAGGAGATGACGATTACCACATGTTTTCCATTTAAGTAATTGTAAGTTATTTTGCAAATTTGGCAAACTTGGACCATGACGCCAGCACAACATGGCCTACACTTCTTCGAATAACGTCACGGTATCGTTAATGTCAACTTTGAAGCAGACGGCACATATTTTATATTTCGTGCACCCGCAGAATCAACCTATAATAATTGTATGTGAGCAGCAGCAGTGGGGAGTCCAACTGAGTCGCAGACGTTGTCTTGGGAGCAACACTATTTATTACATCAACTCAACACACAACATAACGTAACCTACACTTGGGTGTTGAACGCCCATCTCACCACGCTACGGCAGAACTACACACGCTCCCGCTATCCCGGTCCAGACCACGTGGCTAGAGGCTTCTTCAACCCGACGTGGATCTTCACTCACCAACAGTCAAGAACCCCCGAGCCCCTCATGGGGCCCCGTTATATCGACCCGGGCTGGGGCTGGCTCCGCCCCTCGCCCCGCCCACCTTCTAGATCTCTCGAGCTCTTTCCCGAAGGCTCCCGAGAGCTCCTCTATACCACGTGACCGCCCAGCGGTCCCCGTCCACCGGTGGCCCCCCTCCAATATCATCCGGTCACGTGTCGGCAGGTCAATCAGCATATCATGCCCCAAGGTAACCCTGGCTGGCTGATGCTCTCTCTCGCTCCCTCACCGGGAGCCCGCACCACACACTGTACGTGGTGCTTCTGCGCTAACCAGCGCTCACCCAAGCCCCGCTAGGGCTGGTATTACACCCAGTAGCCGGGCTGCACATAATTACAACATATTATCTGCCGTGGCCTCGCAAGGCCGGCACCACACAGTGACATTCACAGTCACTACACATCTATAAAACTGCATGTAGAAAGTACTAAGATTAAATTTGATGTGTAACCCTAACAAAAGATGAAAAAGAAAGTTGTATATTTAAAATGCATAATTTATACGAATTGCATTTCCGATTTATGCTGTTGGCTACATACGGTTCGGAAGAAGTTCAACAGACATACAGACAAAGCGCTGCAGAATTCGTAACACGCAGTTTCTGCAGAGAGGTATGGGGAGGAAACCAAAACAAGTGGGAAAGGTGGCCAGAAAGGCCGTGAGATGTTAACTCTCTTTCCTAGTATGCAGGAGGTCGTGGGTTCGATCGCCACCCTGACACCTGTAAACTTGGAGTTTGCGTGTTCTCCCTGTGCTCACATGGATTTTTCTCTTAGCTCTAAATTTTAAAACATGCGTTAAGAGTAATTGACTGCTGTCAATTTCCACAAGATAATCCACTTTAAGATATAATTTATGGCCAGGTCGCTGATGAAAAAGAGCTATATAGCTCAGTGAGCCTTACCTGGTAAGATAAAAAATTGTTCCTATATTTATAGTTTATTGAACTGAGGCACACCACTGCCCAAACTCTGTGATCCTACAAAAGAGTGTTTGGTCCAACTCCGTTATAAATGGCTAAACTTCGGCAAGCAATCACCCTGCTTAATCAAATCTATCCTCCGATTAGGTTATGTACGGTGCGAAAAACGTTCAACATACATATGAACAGCACTTACGATGTGGAGTTGTATGAAGTCTCCGAGCGTGGCGGCGCTATCCACCCTCACGAGCACTGCGTCCCAGGTCCGCGTGCTGAAGCCCACGGCGAGCCTGTCCGCGCGTGTGCTCGGCCGGTCGTTGGGCGGCCACGTGTACGAGATGAGGCCACCGCCACGGCCAAAGATGTACGTAGTTCCAGCTGCAAAGCAACAACACACACACCCACACATTGAGGCGCCGCAGTGGTGAGATGTGAGCTACCTCGCCTGGTATGGAGGAGGTAGTGGGCTCGATCCCGACCCTGATGCCTGTTCTATACTTGGAGTTTGTATGTCTCTCTGCCCGTCGTCACGTGGATCTTTCTCCAGATCCCTCCACATTTAGAAATATGCGTTTATAGTTTTTGGCTGCTACACATTGCCACGTGATAAGTCACTTTGTTGAGCTATCATTTGTGACCAGGTCGCTTCTGAAAAATATTTACATAGCCCAGTAGGCCTACCTGGTAAAGTCAAAAAATAGTTTCGTTTATAATTACACACAGCCCGTCGTGCTTTATGGTTGTGTTGGTCGTGTCCTGTTTTTTGTGAACACAAATTACATTCAAAATACGACACCTGCCGTGTTTTTTTCTTTCTCCAAACGTAACTCGTTTGCCGTGCTTGTTTTTACATTACTCCCATGCAGAGAAACTTGTGAAGGACATCACTTGTAAAGGGAGCAAATGAAATGAATTGTCATCAAACAGCAGCCATTTTCTATCCACTGCTGAATAAAGACCTCCCTACATCGTGTCGATCGTGGTAGTTGTATTACCATGCTACACTACGCTGGTCAGTACGGGTTGGCCGATGGGGAGCCCAAGACCGGTTGGTTTGAGATGTCACTGGCCACTGATATCAACAACCATTGGCTGTGACTCAAACTGTTGGCACCATGTTCAATGAGTTAACCACTCCTCCACCGCTCACCTCACAACTACAAATGTTGCATAATGCATATCACAAACATCCTTAAAAACGAATAAAATAGTTGATGTTTTAGCTCCAGTTTTATAGAAATACTACAGTGGGTATTTTGTAATATATTTGAAAATTCCATAACCTAGCGGTGGTGCAGCGGTTCACGCACTGCGCTTTGAGCCCGGCGACCCGAGGTTCCCTGCCACGGCTAACATCATCGATGAGTGATATGTATGTATGTTGAACTTCTTTCACACCGTACGTGGTCATCCGTGGGAATCGTATACCTTACATTACAGTGGTGTAGATGTTCTACTACTGACTATGGGCCATGCATGAAGAAAATAAGCCCCACAATCCACTGCTCGTTTGGACAAGAATACAGTTTGTGCTTTTTGAACAAAGCACCGAGAGTTCAAATGTGCGGCATCCACATTAATATTTAAGTGGAGTTTCACTGCACATGGCTGTCTTATTGTAAATCAATCAAATAATTAGAAAAAACAATCGTTATTGACGGCCTTTGAAAAGGTTCAACGGGTTGATGATACAATCTATTACTGCACGGATAAGTTGTGTTTGTGTTTGCATAGAGTAATATAGAAAGTATGTACAGAATAGCTGCACTTACAAATAAAATAGAGGTGTTTCAAATGCAGATCTGTTGACTCAATTAAATATTTACCTATACTTTATCATGCACATGTTTTCTAAATGAATTGTGTCTATCATCTGACCAAAATGATATTGATGTAACTGCCAAAAATATGTTTGAAAAATACAAAACTAATATTTGTTCAACTTCAAAGTTTAAAAGTAAGCTCAAATTTGTATATCTGAGCGACAGTTGATTCTGCAATAATTAAGTATATCACACCCAAAATGTTGGTTGATGTTTTTATCCCTTAAAGCGCATTACAAAATATTAATTTGTTTTTATGGATCATATTTAGTAAAAGTTCAATCAAACTATGCGCCGGTTTAGAAACAGGTGCATTGTTTCAAAGTTGTATAATTTATTCCATGGGGACATTTTGCATACAGGTTATACAATTTAAATGACGGTGGACTGGGTTTATAACACAGTGATCCCAGAGGGCATTATTAATGGTATGACTCAAACGAGCACGCCGTGAACCAAGAAGAAAGTGAGCAAAGTAATAAGTGAACCTAAACAATAAACCTGAAACGTACAGGTTGTTATGACGAACCACTTGTAAACCTGGAACAAAGTTCACTGTACCAGGACCCTGTTCGCTAAAACATGTTCAATGACAATTTGAACTGAGTCTTTGAAGGAACACGTGAAAGCATTAACGCATTGCCACGTATGTGTACATTTGTGTTTCCACAGGTCTCCTTGTCAAATGCTAAATTAAATCATCACACACAGGTACATGTGTACAGTATTCACGCTGCAGTACATTGTGCTCTATAAAGTACATTGTAAAAATGGACGATGATTGATGGTTTTGCAGTGTGTACGATTGCAATTTGCGGGGTGGCTAACGTCATGCGATGGCTGGTATGGAGGTAGAAATCCACACGAGAGAATGCTTTCCTGCAGGTACATTCATTATAAATGGGGAACTATTATAAGCATGGTTTATTATCACGAGGTCATCCTATAAATTTGCCAACTGAATTAGACCTTGACGCTTGTAAACCATTAAATAAATGATATGTGTCACCAAATTGGACAGCAGAATTTACTTTTTAATTGGATCAGAAAGGATTAAATTGTATTAATTATTCTTCTGCAATTTCGCAGCCAAATCATTTTCTCCATCTGGAATTATACAACGGTAACAAATCATTCTCAGTACAGCGCTTCCCCAGACATTTCAGCCATTTAAATTTAGAAGAAGAAAAATATCAGCAATAATAAATTGCTGGAAACATTTGAATTGATTAGACATTCGTTGCCAATTGTAATACTCAGCGCTGTCATTTTTACTGAATTAACTAATTTCAAATGCCTGATGGTGGCCAAGGTTGGAAGACATTTGGTGCGGTGGTCAGGTATCTTAAACACATGTCTAAAATAATGATGTCCACATTTAAGCCGGTTTGGCAGCGCCTACGTAAAAATGGGAGATGACCAAATGTTACAGCCATGTCATTCTGAGAAGCGTTTACACATGTACCAGTGGCCTCTTTGTTCGGCTTAAACATGAGCTCAAGGTCACGTAACATAACCTAAGTGTTTATTTATCAAGGGTTTTTGTGATCCAACTAATTATACACTTAGTCAGCAAGTATCAGAAGTCTAAAACCCGAATACTCTGCACGTTCGACAGAAGGGCAGTACGCCTTGGAGCAAAGTTTAGATAAGAGGAGTTGAATACATTTTCAAAACTGGATATTAAAGGTGTGATCACGTACAAGTATTGCTTAATTTCCAGATTAGTCACTAAAAAGACTGCTGTACATTACAATTTTAATTACAAAAAAAGTTAACACTGAGGTTTATACGGTTCACATCTGATTGGAACTTATAATATCACATCTGCTCATGACCTGACTAATTAAGAGCTGAAATTGATTCACGATTGTTTTGATCCATTTTCATGCATACCAGTGAAATAAAATCCTGATTTTGTTGATTGGGATTGGAAGCTAATGACTGCATAACAAGCTGGCAAAACAATCTATGTGTTGAATTAATCTGTGAAGATCAAATTAGCATCCGATTTTAATCGGCTCACAGTCTAATTAATATATAGTAAGTCAGGTCATTGTATCTGATTCTGAGTCAGACTCATGGTGCACCCATAAGAAACAAGTATGAAATTCAAAATTCTGTAAGTCATATGAACCTTATGGCGGTAACCGGGGTAACATAGGACCCCGGCTCTCGCACAATGTCCGTGATGCAGTCATTTTTAGTCTGTTGATGGTCGGCGATGCGGCAATCGACTCATCTCGACGAGCTGTACACTACGATGCACCTACTACGGTGCGTACCGAGCGTTCAGGGTTTCAGCGCAATCGTCCTCGCTGCGTTTCGACATCTTGGAGTAGCACTGATTTCGCATTCATTGGTACCCCAGTCGCGGAGTTCAGTACACCCCTGGAAAAAATATAGTGTCCCAGAAATAAAATATTTAATTGCCTCGGTGCCATAAGGATCATATGTTGGACCGATACAAATGTTTTAGCAATACAGATTTTAAGTGTTTCTATCCCTCAACGTTAGGCCTCTACATTTAACTTGACGAAGCACGCAAGATATTTGTCATAATTAATGGTCGCAACATTTACTTTAAATATGCAATAGTTGTTGTGATATTAATTGGACATAACATTTTCCGATTATTTATCGGCTTTCGTCGACAGTGGGAAAAAAAAGGCTGTACATTTTTTTTACTAAATAAATCTTGAACTCGGGAAAAAAATATCGTGTGATTTTCATAGAATAATTTATTTTGATCGTGCAAAAAAATAACTAAAAAAGATACACAAAATCATACCGCTCGCGTAATTGCTAAAACAGCTGTGAAACTGCATGTAATTAGAGCTTATGCATCTGATTCATTTGAAGCGTTTTAATCTCTCCAATTACAGAGATTTCATAACTGTGCAACCAACGTGTGGCGTGTCGCCATTGACCGCCCTGTGAACTGATAATTGGTTATTTTCCAAGGGTGACCTTTATGAATTAAGCATTCATGTAACCGGCTAATGACATGCTAATAACTGAGTGAAGAGATACACGAGGTAAACACATTTCCTCACAATATTTGACCGACAATAACAATTGAAATCCCTCTGTCAATTCATTGCTGGATGAAGGCCTCTCCTCACGATATCAGTCATGGTGGGTTGTGACCATATTTCACCATGCTGGTCAGTACGGGTTGGTGTAGTGGGGGTACCCAGCGCTCACCACTGATTATAACCGTGTCTAGAAATCAAACTCAGGGCACCAGATTTAAAGCGCTGTGATAGCCAATGCCCCACAATTACACCCTGCTGAATTTGTAATACGTACTTGGAAACGGCATGTGTTTCAAGGTTCTGTAAACTAAAATCACCGTAATGAGAAAAAACACGTCATTTTTAAAAAGTGCAGTAATTTGTCAAAACAGTCACGAACAAGTGCAAATACTGTATTCATAACACAAATAATTGTTCGTCACAGCATATCCTACATTATTACATTCTTGCGGCAACAATGTAAATGTTAACCTGAAAGGAGCAGTGCAGTTTAACCACTGGATACAAATGGTCTTCT